TTTTAGGGTAACCACTAGCGATGAACTAAGTGCAGCAACCGGTTTTTGAGGTTGTAGGGAATATAGATATGAGAGAGTATAGGTGATCATTCCCACAGCATTGAGGGAGTTAAAGGACCACTATAGGCACCCAGACCACTTCAGCTCAATGAAGTGGTCTGGGTGTCGGGTCCCTCTAGTTTTAACCCTGCAGCTGAAAACGTAGTTTCAGAGAAACTGCTATGTTTACACTAGGGTTAATCCAGCCTCTAGTGGCTGCCCGGCACTAGAGAAAGGTAAGTGTTTTAACCCCTTCAGCCCAGCAGGAGTGGGACCCTGAGGGTGGGGAGGGGATTTAAAGACTAGTTTGTTTTCCTGGCACTATAGTGGTCCTTTAAATAGCTTCTAGTTTATGTAGGGATGTTAGCAGTGTGCCTGGTCATATTGCCCTGACCAGTTAAGTTTTATGCTCCCAATGTCTTTGGTCGTGATCTTTGCATGTATAAGATGGTTGGTTAAAAATGAGCAAAGCTTTTTTTTTTTTTTTCCTCTGGGAAAGAATTAAAAAGAACATAAAGTTCCAGAGTAAGATATTCTTGGATGGATCCTGATAGTAATTTTAATCCAAAGTAGTAATTGTAATCCAAAGTCTTTAAAGGCCTGTAGTAGTTTATATTCCTTAGACACATTGCTGAAGGTTATGTTTGTACAATACCTGGGTATTTGTTGTAGATTCCAGCTATTCAAGTATTTGGCTGGAATTAATTGCAGATATTCTATCAGCATCATCTGTTATCACCTTTGTGATGGTGTTGGTATTGGTTGTTGCCATGACATTTGTCTTTGCTTGTTTTTTTTTTTTTTTGTTGTTTTTTTTTTCCATGAAACCTTTTTACACCTTTTGATGTGTATAGATTGGATACTCTGATATTCTTTTATGAAATAAATTGATAACATTTTCAGCACATTGTCTTAAGTGACATGGATCCCATTATAGTACGTTATGTTGATACAGCAATCCAAGTGGTATCTTAAGAACGCCTCTTTGTGCTGGTATTGGAATCTTGGTAACACCTCTATTTCTTACAGATAGACATACGACATCAGATGCTATTGTGCTAGAGATGTTAACAGGTAAAATATGTGAAAAATCTTTACATTTGCTATACTTTGTATAATAATAGATGAAATAGTAACATAGTTAATCTTTCTAGTGTTTTGTTTTATAGATAAACGCCCTTGTTTGTGTGTGATTTAGATATATAAAGATAATTTGAAGCAGCAAAGTATTAACCGCATTTATTTAGAATAGTTGATAATTGGAAACATGACACTATTTATCTTTCTTTGTCCTGTTGGGGAGAAGAAAGCTTTTTCCCTAAGTTACAATTTGTAAATATATAATAACTACAGTTATTATTGTCTTAAAATACCAGAAACACCCCAATAATTCTTAAAACATTTTTACCAAGATTTGTCAGCCATTGTGGAAAGTCACATTCGTGAGATTGGATGCTTAAAGGGACACTATAGTCACCTGAACAACTTTAGCTTAATGAAGCAGTTTTGGTGTATTGAACATGCCCCTGCAGCCTCACTGCTCAATCCTCTGCCATTAAGGAGTTAAATCCCTTTGTTTATGAACCCTAGTCACACCTCCTTGCATGTGACTTGCACAGCCTTCCATAAACACTTCCTGTAAAGAGAGCCCTATTTAGCATTTCTTTATTGCAAGTTCTGTTTAATTAAGATTTTCCTATCCCCTGCTATGTTAATAGCTTGCTAGACCCTGCAAGAGCCTCCTGTATGTGATTAAAGTTCAATTTACAGATTGAGATACAATTATTTAAGGTAAATTACATCTGTTTGAAAGTGAAACCATTTTTTTTTGTTTGTTTTTTCTTTTCATGCAGACTTTGTCAATCATAGCAAGGGGAGGTGTGGCTAGGGCTGCATAAACAGAAACAAAGGGATTTAACTCCTAAATGACAGTGAATTGAGCAGTGAAATTGCAGGGGAATGATCTATACACTAAAACTGCTTTATTTAGCTAAAGTAATTTAGGTGACTATAGTGTTCCTTTTAAAGAATAAAAAGTTATGACCAGGTGAAAAGAAAAAAAACAATATTAACAGCTTTTAAATCAGGTAATGGCTTCAGCGTTACCTACTTATGAGATCAATTAATAGCCCAATTCGTGTTCCTGCAACCAGTGTGATCTACTAATCTGTGCATCAGTAATCGGCATATATCTGAAGGTAAAACACCGCCACCAAATTGAAAAAACATTCCGTATCTTGATCAGAGAGGATACCTGGCAATAGAAAAACTTTTGTAGAATGGTTTCATGTATAATTACATAGGTGTGCACACAAAAAAAGCATTGATTCTGTTAACCCCTTAAGGACACAGCTTAAGAAGCTGGACATACCTTTAAGGACACAAACAATTTTTGCATTTTTTGCTGTTTGTGTTCAAATGCAATTTGCATCTCTCTCTCATTTATTGTACCAGCACACATTATATACCGATTTTTACACAACAAAAAGGGCTTTAATTTGATGTGACATATATAAAACCTCATTTATTTAAAAAAAAAAGCAAAATAAGGTGGGGAAAAAAAACAAAAAAATGCTTTTTCCCCCCCAAGTTTTGGCAATAATAATGTGTGCATAATATGTCCAGTTCAGGAAAAGTAATTTAAAATTATTAATTTATGTGTCTTGATCTACAAAATGCATAATATGTGTAGGATTTCAGTTTATTTTGAAAGTTACAGGTCACAAACTACAAGGTCTAAAATAAAATTTCAATGAGAAACAATTTTAGAAGTTGGTATGTTTGTCTTGGAAGTTTAATACCCATTACAGGAAACAATTGCCACACAAAAGTATATATTTATATAAAGCAGACATCACAGGCTATTTACCTAATGTTAGTTTGACACTTTTTGCGTAGCCATTTCACCGCAAATCTCTGCTAAATATTGGAGTAAAATTAAATTTTTTGTCTATTTTGACATATACACATATAACAAGGTAATATGTATTTCGTAAACCTAGTGTGTGCTATCCCTGTACAGAACCCCATATTGTGTTCAGCTACATCTGCTGAGTAAAACGATACCCCCACTGTATACCTTTGCCCCTATCCTGTGAAGCTACAATGCCATATAGGAGACCATGCTATTTCAGTTTCTATAGTTGGAATTTTCATAGATGGTCATATGTCTGATTTTGTGGCATTATAGCCATTTGACTGATCAAATAACCCCACAAAGGCCTTCCATTTGAGAAAGCAGACACTCCAGGGTATGTTATTAGGCATATATTATATCTTAACTTGCCACCATTTTTTCACCAATTTATTTCAAATGTTGTGGTGAGAAGAAAAAAAAATTACATTTTTTTTTTACATACATGTTTCATTTTCGCTGGGTATTTCTTACATTTGATAAGTGCCACTGTCATAAATTCCCCCTAAGTATGCTCAGTTACCTCTTCTGAGTAAAACAATAAGCCCAATGTATGACCTAGACACTATTCTATGAAAGAGACGTGACAAGTTCAGGTTTTTAAGTGTGAATTTACATGGAGAGTTTTAATGGGTCCGTATTCTATTTTTAAATATGTTAGCAGGCTGCTTTTTCCAACTACCCTAAAAAGGCATACTATTTCTTAAAGACGTCTGAGGGTATTTCAAAAGGCAAATTTTGAACCTTAGCGTGGGATAATTTTTCCGTTCGCTTGTATCAAATGTAGTGGTCATAAGCATTTTTTTTCTTGCCTTTTTGACAGTGAATTTGTACTGTATATTTTGCAAACCTTATGTGTGCTACGGCTTTATAATACTTGATCTGTTGCTCAGCTATGTTGTCTGAGTACAGCAATACCCCGTATGTACCTTTGCCAGGTATATGTGGACGTTGAAGGGACACATTTCAGACACAGCCATTGCAGGTTTTTTTTCAAACTTTGAATTTTTACGCTGTGTTGTTGCCTCACTTTGGAGTTTTTTTTTTTAGCAGGCTATATATTCCAACTATCCCATAAAAGCATACTATTTCATAAAGAAGACATTCCAGAGTATTTCAAAAGGCATATTTTGAACCTTAGCGTGGGATCATTTTTCCGCTAGCTTGTACCAAGTGTAGTGGTAATAAGCATTTTTTTCTGCTTTTTTGACACACACAGTGCGTTTGTACTGCGTATTTTGCAAATCTTATGTGCAAGGTATAATACTTCCTATTTTGCTCAGCTATGTCGTCTGAGCACAGCCCCATATGTACCTTTGCCAGGTATATGCGGACATTGAAGGGGCACATTTGAAACACAGCCATTTAAGTTTTTTCAAACTTTACATTTTTACACTGTGTACATACCCCACTTTGGAGGTGTTTTTGTAGGTTAATTACAGTGCATTTGTATTTGCTAGAATTGGGCAGTGTTACATTTCAGTGCAAAACAGGCTTTAGATCATTTGTATATATTAAATCTACCAATGCTGTGTATAAATTGGGGTTATCGAACACTACCAACCTGCATACAGATTATATGAACTACATACATTGTGTATGTTTCTAACAGCACCTTATGCCCAGATATATCAGTTACATATACTGAGTCTGTTCAAATGGTAATCATACGTAGCCTACCTCTGCTATATACAGTGACACTATGCCTGCACCCATATTAAGATGATATAAGTGAGATAAATTGAGGCTGTGTTTTAACAAAAATACATGCACATATACCACTCACATACACTGAGGTTGTGACTCACAACCCACACATAAAACCAGTATTAGAGTGGACTCATAGAGGATGTGTCTTATGTCATTCACATATATTCTGTTTCCACTAATACATCAAGCATATAATGAACAGATACACTAAAGCAATGTATCCACACCACCTTACATATAGAGCATGTAGAGGACATATACTGAGGCTGTGTTTTCACAGCAACTCTGAGCATATAAAGAACACACACTGAGGCCTAGTCTCCTGATCAACACATATATAGACAATATAGTGTGTGTGTGTGTGTGTGTGTGTGTGTGTGTATATATATATATATATATATATATATACACACACATACATACACACATACATACAGCATATAGTGAATACATATACTGAGGTTGTGTCCTAATTAGTAACTTCTACATAGAGCATATAGAGGATACTTATACTGAGGCGATGACCTCGCAGTAACTCTTACATAGAGCATATAGTGGATACAAATACTGAGGCCGTGTCCTCATAGTAACTCATACATAGAGCATATACTGGACACACACTGAGACTTCATACCAATTCATACATTAGAGCATATAGTGGAAACATACTGATGCTGTACCACCACCAGTTCATGTACAGATACTGAAGCCCAGTAGTCTCCTGTGCAGTATATTCTTCCACTGTCTGCAAAAGCCTGCTTATTTGTGATAATGCATAGATAACAGCAATCAATGCCACATACCTTGATAGAAACAAGTGTGTGTGTGTGGACTTAGAGTTTTTAAAACCTGTCATATACATGTGTGTACTTAATTCAGACACCCAAGAAAGTTCTCTTACCTTGGGTATTTCACGCTCTTCAGGACTGTGGAATTCCAGCAGACTTTATACAACCAGGAAATCCATTATCAGCACTCCTTTGCACAATGCCTCCTTGTATTATCAGCACTCTTTTGCACCAAACATCCTTGTATAAACTTACCTAAATGCTTACCACACAAATCTCCTAAATGTGACCTATTTGTTAGAAGGAAGCCTAATGTAAGCAGCTGGGAGGGACTGAAAGAACAGAGACCCAGGTGCCTATACTAGTTTTAATCTAAATTACTAATGCAATTACCTAAATCGTTGCAGGCCTGTGTTTCAGCGGCAAAATGGGGATTTGAACAACTGCTAGCCTAAACTGTTTAAACTATAGGCTTCCATCTGTACCACATATGCTGTTCATCATCACCATACAAGGTGGAATACATAGAATAGGACCGTTGTCATCCCCTCAGGGAGAGAGAGAGGTTAGATTCAGCATGTTTGTGGAAGGAGGTACCAAGGCTGGCAACTCTTACACATGTGCTGTTTGCTGGGTCTTCGGGGATAAAGGCTTAGACTCGGCTGGGCCTCCGGGGATAAAGGCTTAGACTCGGCTGGGCCTCATGTATGCAGTGGACTGCTGTCATCACTTCCGAGAGAGATGGGACAGACCCCTTTTGTTGAAGTAGGAACCCAGGCTGGCAACTCTTACCGATGTGCTGTTTGCTGGGTCTTCAGTGATAAGAGGCTGAACCCTGGCCTGGCTTCATATAGGCAGTATATCACATACATCCCCTGAGGGGGTACCCAAGCTGGCCTGTTGCTGGTTCTTCGGGGATACAGTGGCATGCAGTGGACCATTTTTATCCCTTTCAGGGAGAGGTTGAGTCTGACCCCCAGTCTCCAGGCTAGCCACTTCTTAGTGCGTTTTGCTGGGTCTTCAGGGCTTAGAGGCTTAGAGGCTGAACCCCGGCAGGGCCTAAAAAAATATTGCCTGGTGAGCATAAAAGAAAAAAAATCAGACTGCATAAGCAGACTCCTTCCAAACTGCTGTGAAGGACAGGAAAAAAGACTGCCTGAAGGGGGAGGATCTATTTATACCAGTTTCAAAGTTCTATTTCCTGTCCTTTCTGCTGTGAGGGGAGGAGCTAACAACACAAGTAAATGTTGCCATAAATAATGGTCAGGAAATAAACTTATACATATACGCACACACTCTCACAATTTTTTTTTATTTTTTTAATAAAAAAAATGTCCACCCAGACTCCCTACCTGGCGTGGACCTGTTCCTGAGGTCCAGTGGGGCGTACGCCTGTCTCCATATCTCTGCTCCCTATCGCCACGTGGGCAGTCTACTGATGCCGGGAGCCGGAATATGACCTCATATTCCGGCATCAGCAAATGGCGCGCAGGGAGAGGGAGCAGAGAGAACACAGCTCTCTCGCCGCGTCTGATATGGAGACAGGCGCCCGCCATGGGGGTCCATCAGGTGGCCATAAGGCCACCTCTTGGGCCCCCCATGACAAGGGGAACACGGGGGGGCATTTGGGGGCGGCGGGCACCACTGAGTGCCTACAGGAACAGCAGGAACGCAGTTTCTGTGGGAAAAAAAAGGTGCAGAAACGCCGTTCTCACGCATTCCTGCAGGACTCGAGCCCTGAATTTGTTGCAATTTTACAATTTCATACGTCACACTTCCTACCTATGACCCAATACATCAGACTTCACAGTTCCTTCCAAATGGCTTAAACGGTGCTAGCCATATTTATGCACTTTTTGTAGGGTTTTCTTTCTCCATTCTGAATATGCGCAAAATGAGGCGTGTTTCCTAATGTGTGGGTAATTATTTGTTTCTTTTGGGTATGACAATGGTCTCCTGACATGCTTAGCATGTTGAAAGAATCCACTATCTGTTAAGGGATACAGGCATATGGTAGATTAATCTTAGTTTACATGGAAGCTAGACTTCGAGGAAACTCATGCATTGCATTTCACACCTCAGGCGCTCTGGTTGAAGTCACAGCTTCAAATGAGGTGCATGTTTTAAACCTTCTGACGTCTATCACATTTCAAAGAATCAAATGTAACCTCTCTCCTGCTGAAATTGACAAAACCAGGTAGCCAATTCATCTATGCAATTCACAAATCACATTAAATATCAGTATTCTATTTATCAAGAAATTTTGCACCCTTTAGTTTATTTAAAGTGGTTATGGTCACGTTAATCCTCTGATGTCCTTCCATTGTTTAAAACCTGCCCTATTTTTGGAGTGGTTGAAAACAAATGTTGTGTTCCCCTGTCAGCTGCCTCTCCTTTCATGTTCAGCTAATGAAGTGCTGGCTCAAGCTGAAAACATATCATTAGTCACCTTTTCGCATTTTATACACTGGATGTCTGTCATGCTTTTTGCATCTTGTTGCTGCCCAATTCCTGCCCAATATGTCTAAAATTCCAGTACATTTTTGCAATATCTAGTATGATGTGGAGTGAATTATGGTTTTGGAACTTAACATTTGCCAAATTTAGCATGCCAAATCTCATAATCCAAAATCTAAAACCCAGATCTTTCATCTCAATTAAGTGGTCTGGGTGCCATGTTCCTGTAGTTTTATCTTTGCTATGTACAATTTTGCATAATGCATAAAGTGGATGGCGGGATTTGGGCAGAAGGAGCTTTAGTACTGTTTTCCTAGCACTATAGTATCCCTTTAAGGACTAGGTAATTGACCGATTATCGGTTGGGCTGATAAATCAGCCGATATTCTGCAATTTGGCAATAATCTGTATTGGTTTACAATATACTGAGAGGTGCTGCTGGAAACAGAAGATTGCATGTACTGGGCCCCAGCCGCCCTCTTTTAACCCCTTAAGGACGCAGCTTCAAAAACTGGACTTACCCTTAAGGACACAAGCATTTTTAGCTGTTTGTGTTCAACTTCCGTTTGCATTTTTCTTATTTATTGCACAAACACATGTTATATCGTTTTTTTAAAGGACAAAAAGGGCTTTAATCTCATGTGGCATATACATATATAAATTCTTATTTATTAAAAAAAATCCCCCCAATTTTTTTTTTTTTCACAGTTTAGGCAATAATACAGTGTGTATAATAAGTGCAGCTTAAGGAAAGTAATTTAAAAAATATTCAATTAGTTCTGATTTTCAGAGTACAGAATATGTCTAGGATTTCAGCTTATTTTGAAAGTTACAGGTCACAAAATACAAGGAGTAAAATAAAATTTTAATGTGGAGCTATTTTTGAATTTGGTATGTTTGTCTTGTAAGCTTAATAGCCATCACAGAAAGCAAAATTGCTGCGCAAAAGTATATATTTATATAAAGCACACATCACAGGCTATTTACCAAAGGGTATTCTGACACTTTTTATGTAGCCATTTCACAGCCAATCTCTGCTAAATGTGTAGTAAAATTGTGTTTAGTTTTTTTCAGATTTCTAACATACACACATAAAACAAGGCTTTTTAATGTGTATTTCATAAAGCTGAAATAAACTACTGCTGTAGATAGTTTTCAGACATATCAACTGAGTAAAACGATACCCCCAATCTATGCCTTTGCCACTATCATGTGAAGTTAGTGTCAAAAGAGACCCCTGACCATTTCAGTTTTCACAGTGATAATTTTGATGAATTTGATGTGGGCAAGTCTCATTTTGGGGCATTGTAGCAGTTTAACTGTTGAATTTATCCCTCAAGGACCTACTATTGGCGAAAGTAGACACTTCAGTGTATCACATATGGTGTATATTGTGCCTTAACGTGATGCCATTTTTTTTCACCAGTTTATGTCAAACTTTGTGGTAAAATAAATATTTTTTTACATACACGTTACTTTTTTTGGTGTCATTTTTCAAGTCTAGTATGTGCCACTGTGATCAAAACCCCATAATTATGCTCTGCAAACTCTTCTGAATAAAACAGTACCCCCAATGTATGTCTTTTCCACTATCCTGTGAAGCTACCGCCTTAAGAGTCCTGGCCATTACAGTTTTTACAATTAGAATTTTGATAAATGGATTTGATGTGTCTATATCACATGTTAGGGCATTGTAGCAGTTAAAATTACCCCATAAATGCATACCATTTATGAAAGTAGACACCACGGGCTATGTCATATGGTATATTTTGAGCTTTACAGTTATGTCCGCACCAATTTCTTTCAAATTTTATCATATTGTTTTATTTTTTTAGTTTCAGAGAAAATGCTATGTTAATAAATAGGTTAATCCAGCCTCTAAAGCCTCTAGTGGCTGTCTCTTTATGAATGCTTTCCTATGAGACTGGCTGAATGCGCGCGCAGCTCCTGCGCATTCAGCTGAAGAGTCGGAGAGGAGGAGGAGAGCTCCCCACCTGGTGCTGGAGAAAAAGATAAGTTTAACCCCTTCCTCTCCCCAGAGCCTGGTGGGAGGGGGTCCGTGAGGGTGGGGGCACCCTCAGGGCACTATAGTGCCAGGAAAACAAGTGTTTTCCTGGCACTATAGTGGTCCTTTAAGTCAGGCTATGCACTAACCTTGCAACACTACTATTGTCTCAGTTAGATCATCACTATATATT